TTTTTTTTTTAATTTCATTAAAAAATAGTCAAACAACCATGCAAGACAGTCCTCAAACAGGCAGAAAAATTAACACAAAATGATGCAGTCATAACGCTTTAAGATTCTGAAACACCCTTTTTCATTTGTTTTTGCTTGTTTACGTTGCATCTAGGGTAGCAGAGTAAGTGATAATGAAGCAAGATTGTTTCAGAAAACATTAACATGCCAGGGAAGAGGGCACGAAGGGAAGAGAGAAGTATGAAAAAATGAGTAGGCTGACTTGACTAGTATCTTAACCTCCTACAGAATGATCTCTCCAATTCTCATAACAGCTGAATTACAAAAACTTTCTAAATCTTAGCAGTCTCTTTAAATGAGCATTTTAGGTAGCTGCAATGGGTTTTTTTCCTCTTTTTATTGACAGAATCTGGTTTTTCATTTGCTATTTTCTTTCCCAAAGATTTCACCTAGTAGACTGATCTTCTACAATAAAAACAAGAGGAAATTTTTCCAGATACTACATCTTAACAACACTGATCTCATATTTGCACATTTGTTGCCTTAATTTATATTTGAACCCTCTTTGGAAATGCCATTAAGTTTTCCTAAAATCAAATATGCACATAAAGATCAAAAGCAAATCAAAAAAGGAGGATGTGTGGAGTATCAAATTTACTATACATGTGAACTTCAGACCTACTCAGGTCAGATTTTTACTGTGTCCCCATTGAACAGTTTCTTCTTCTACTCTGAAAGGCTCAGGATGAGATAAAATCACTTTGCTTCTCTTCAGCAAGTTTGCAACTGTAATCAAGAAAGTTTGTCAGCAACTTACTGACTTACAGTGATCTGGAAGGCAAAAATAGAACTTTATTTTCCATAAAAGCATATCCTAAAATCAAGATAATTTGCAATTTAATCAACAGCAGTACATACTTATTCTACTCTTTTCCATCAATAGAATGGAAACAGAATCAATTTCTCATCATTCCCAAATACACTTTCTAGCTATTCTATCATTCCCCTTTCTGTGTGCTAATATCCATGCTTCATAAACACAGTCTACTCTCTGCCAGTTTTGTGAAGCTTGTAACTTCTGCACTAAGAACATTAGCATCGATCCACATCTAGAACTGAGATTTGTAGAGAGAAACGCGATTGTGCTATTAATCCACCAATAGTGTCCAGAATGTTTGATTTACAGTGTGAGCATAAACAAGTGGAAAATTCCACTCAGCCTATTATGTAAGCTTTGAAAATTAAGTACTACAATCATTCCTTGAATCTTGGTATGAAGGGTAGCAATTCTGATAATGAAGACTCGTTAAATGAGCCATATAATCTACAAAAAAATCTAGCACTGATTCAAGTGATTCCAAAAAGTGCTGACTAATACATAATAGACAGTAGTTATACCCACCGCACCTCAGGGCCACTGCTTCTCTGGGCATGGCACTGAATCAAGAGCCAATAGGTCTTTTAAAAAGTAGACTCAACAAGCAAGTATTCTGAATCACAAAATTAACAGGTAGCTTTCTTGTAGCATCCAGCAACTATCTGAGCTTTTCAAATCTCATTTGCTTCACCGTTCTGACACTTCATGGCTGCCTGCTATGATTAGAAGGATATCAGACAGGTGAGTTGTCTCAAAACTAGTATTCTGCTGCTATATAACCCTAGGTTTCAGTTCCATATAGATCCTTTCTGCTGTTATTTTATCATGTGTGCTAACCATTAAACAGGGCATGCCAGCCTAAAGAGTGTATGGAAACCTTCACAATTCTCCTTGATACCAGACCTGAAAGGTGTCAAAGTGATTCCCCACGGCCCTCTTTGACCATCAAGATCTAAACCTTGCTGCAACTAGATGACACTTAGGAAAAAAGTGATGATCTACAGTCTTCTGTTTTGACTTACAAACAGATGCAGCTATGGAGCTCTAGACAGAAATATGCTGTGCTAGAAACAAAATACAGCTGCAGTAAAATATAGCTGCAATAAAAGCAGATGCACATTTTCTATTCAGAAAACTGTAACTTCTCAATGTCTTCTATAAAAAGGCTGGGCAGATTAAACTGAGAGCCACAGATAATATTCGTTCAGTGAATCTCTAAAACCCTATACAAAACAACTTTCATTGAGGCTGTGCCTAAAATTCTACTTTTGTGTGTGTCAGAAATTATAAATCAGACATTCAACCTGACCAGAGATTCACAGTTTCCCTAACACTTTTCTACCAGTTTAGAATAAGATGTTTTATGGAATTACAGGTTAGTATGATTTAATACTTATATTTTTGTAGCATTTGTAGCTCAACCAATTATGATTAAATGCTGTACCAACATAAGGGATGGTAGTTCTGGCCCCGTTCCTATCAAATTTATGTCAGAGATGAAACAGAACAAACAAGTACGGTGGGCAGTTCCAGAGACTACATAACAACAGCATGCTTTAAGTCCCCTCCAGTCAGAAACAGAGATCTTCCATCATCACTAGCCTGGCTAGGATCAGATTGTAAATGTCTGTTTCCATTTGCAACAACACACGACTTAAAAGAGCCTGAAAAATATTGGGATAATTCAGCTTTAATGGACATGTGTAAAAGATGTCATGGGAAATGCTACATAATCTTCACATTAGAATGGAGCACCTCCTGGGCTTAGGACTTTCATTTGTATCTTGCATGAGTCTAAAAACAAAACAATAAAAAAGACCTGGATAAGGGTAGTGTCTAATCACATTCAATATTTAAGAAAAAGAAAATACAGGGTGACTATATAGATTCAAAAAATTTTCCTTCTTATTGCCTCAGGTATTCTATTTTCAGTAAAGTTTACAGAGATAATATTCAGAGACCACGTCTAAAAAAGGCCCCTCATAGCCTCACCTTACATTGTGCCAGGCCGGTTGCAGAGTTCTCTGTCTGTATGAATTCTAGTTTTCAGCCACCTTTCACCATAGGTCCCTGCCTACCAAGTTCTGCTGGAGCTGTTCTACAAGGCCACCTGTACAACATTTCTCCATGGATTCAGGACACGCTAGCATAGTCTTTAGCAGGTTCATTTTTTTTTCTGTGCTGCAGCAAGGTGGGAATGAATCCCACACTATGGACTCCTTTCCTTTTCAACCAGTGTAAACTCAGAAACTGTATGAGAGGTCTTCACTGGATTTGAATGTGAGTGGCTCAGTTCTCACACACATGATGAGAAACGCCTATCTGTGGATCCTAGAACTTTCTCAAAGCAGTTCATTGTTGGGGCTGCTGCACAGCCATGCACAGTACAGAATGAAAGTCTTAGCCTATAGATGTGCTTTGTTCCAGTGTACTGCTCTTTTTTTTTTTTTTTTAAATCAAAATCTACTATGAGAACCTGAAACTAAAGCACCTCTCTAAAGACAACGTATTTGAAGAATGTTAGTTACAGAGGAATAAGCTGCCTTTGATATATTGTCAGCCTGTAGATTAACCAGAGTTACTATTTCCAGAAGGACTGATTGAGGAAAAGAAAAAAGAGCGGTATTATAAGATATACAAGCTTCTTTTATGAGGCAAAATAATTTGGACAATCAGAGGCCATATCTTAATTACACAGTTGCACAACACTGCTTCACAGATAGTCCAAAGGAATATTACTGTAGTTAGATAGAGACGAGTTTTGGACAGTTTTGAGATTTGAAAGACTCCAAAAAAGTGAACTCTCTCTCTTAAGGATGACTGTGCAGCTTGTAAACACAGAACTACACCTCTGAGTAGATCTTAGAGCAGACCTTCTTTTATAAAAGCTGACAAATTAAATTCACTGCAGAGGCAGATTTAAGATTTCTCAATATTTAAGCATACGCTTCCACCTTCATCTGACATTTTGTCTTAACTTTGATCTGGAACCACCTGAAATTCTCAAATGGATAGTACTCTTATCCACAAATACTGAGAGACATAATCATCAAGACTGCAAATGCTCCAGTCTTTGGCATACATGGACTGTATGAGTTAGGTATAATACCGCAGCCTGCACCAATACAGTACATATTTACTATCATCGGAAAGAAAGTAAATTATTCTTAATGTCATTAACGTTATAAAACAACAAGGCTCAGTAAAATTCAGAAGTAACAGATAAAAGGTCTTCAGCTCCCTCCGAAAATGCAATGTACATCGGTACTAATTAAAGTGCTAAATAAAGCGTTTGTTTAAATGTTGCAATAGTTTTGAATCAATCACTGTAGAAACGGTCAAAAGAAGTTTCAGTTCTTCCAATTTTCCTCAACTCCTGTAAATCTTTGACAGAAATATAAATGCTTTTCAAGGGCAAGTTTGAGCTTACCTTTGAAAGCACATTTACGCTTCTTTATAGCTAGCCTAGACCAGAGATCAGGCAAAGGTGTTACATCAAGACAAGAGTGCCCCTCAGTGGCAGTATGTTGATACAAAACACAGCTCTATGATACTTCACTTTAACATAAATATTCTGAATGTTTATTTTCATCACTCAGGGACAAATGCTGCATTAAATCACACTCTATTCAAAACTGTGTCATTACTAAGAATCAGAGGTTTTTAGCACATACGATTTTATAATGAATGACTGTGAGTATGTACACCATCAGGTATAAACATTTACTATAAAAAAACAACAGTTGCTAAATATATTTGCCTGTTATAGCTGTGTGTTTTGTGGTTGGGTGTGTGCATATGTCTATACCTCCCTGCTATTTTTAAAGAACAGAGATCGATTCTTGCATAAAGACTTCTACAAACAATCCTGCAGTATTCAAATTCTTTAGTTCTGTGTCATGAGCAGTAAGAAAGCATGCTGTAGTTCTTTGAGAACTTTAAAAACTACAGTATCTGAATTGCCTGTAAGGCTTGCTGTGTGTCCCGGGTTGTATTAATTCACTCAAAGAGTGAAACTTTGTCATATTTTGTCCTATTAACACATATACTGCTTTCAAAGCCTATCCTGAAACCTGTCAAGACTCCTTCCTCCACACTGTGGAGATTATAGAAGCATACATCAAGAGTAGTCACTACTACAGGCCTAGACAAATCGCACCTCACTGCAGCTGATCACTGGGAACGCCTGATGGATACTAAACAATTGCATGGTAGAACTGGAATAGAACAGGTGGCTGTTATACTTTGCACATTCATTAGCACTTGTTAGCTAATCTGGTTATCTCGATATTTTTGCTGATTTAAATAAAAACAGGCCTTGAAGCATAACTATAGTTTAGTATTTGGGGCTAAATCATCTCCTCCATCACATTTGACAGACATAGCTGCAAAAAATACAGTCACAGCTGATGACACCTGGAGGCACTGATCACAAAATTCGCATTAGCAATTATTTTACACAACAGTATAATAATGCAATAATTTAGCAGCTTCGAGGTACGGTGACCAATGCCTGGGAATCTGAAATCTTCTGAGAGTTTCAACAAAGAAATTCTATTCATGTACATCACGGGAAATTCTCTTCAAGTAAAGTAGTTCTACTTACTAATTGTAACTTTGTCTTTATCCCCCAGCATGACATTGTTTGGAGTGAGATCTCGATGAACAATCCTTTTCTCTTTATGCAAATAACGAAGAGCTAGACAAAGCTTAAAAACAAACAGAAAGATTGTTACAAAGATTCTTAACTACAACCTAAACAAAGGCAAATAAAATTAAATTCATATCTGACATTAGTGCCTCATGTAATAAGCACTACTTTGTCATTTATTAGCCTAACAAACATAAATGGTGCTACTAATCACATGCAGGAAAGTCCTGGTAACAACAAAAAAAAAAATGGAGGCCCTTACTTGGATAAATATACGCCATATTCTTTCTTCTGTAAACTGTTGTTGCTTTTCCTTCAACGAGTGAAAGTGTTCTCCCAATGGCACCCCCTCTATGAGCTCCATGACTATGTACAATCTCTCATCTACACAAAAGAAAATGAATTAATAGAACATTACATTTGTACAGAAGGCATTTGAAAATAAGAGTATTTGAGGTTAAAACGTATTTAACAGCTGTTACTTTTTACTTTTTACACATTCATTTGTACAGACAAATGCATTTTAATCTTAGTTCTACTCCTTGTTATTCCAATTTTTCCTCAACTTATATCACAGCAACTACAAGGAATTCACTGCCTGATTATCACTCAGTGGGTAGGTCTATGTAGCTAACTCTTTATAAAAAAGAAAATTAAGACAATATAGCTGAGCAATCTATATCATTCTTTCTACTAGTCACCATAGCTTTTCTCCCTGCTTAGCATTTCAGTTGTAAATTTTGGATCTTGAACTCTATAGGACGAGAATGACGCTTTCTACATGTTTATATTGCGTCTAGTTTTACTGATAGATAAAGAAGTATAACTATTATTTCTCAAAATTTTTTCAATTTTAAAGGAATATAAGCCTGTCTGAATTGTAGCAGTTCTTGAAGAAAATATTACCATTTATTGCTCAAATTGGACACACT